TGTTTTATTCAGACCTACTCCAGTATTTTGGTAACCAAGCTGCATCTAATTGCATTAATTGCGCATATCCTCTTGTTTGAACACCTGCTCTGAACGATTTTTTTTTCTTGCTTGTGAAGTACAGACCGCGACATGCATCGAACCATTTGGGCTGCCATTTCTGGAAGTGTTTTTCCATGTAAATGTGTCATCACGACGCTCACAGACAACCTGTCACCTCCGCCTGCTCGCGCGCATCCACAGCGACTGCACGTTTGTTATCTACTATTAAGCTTTTCTGCGATTGTTTGTCAGTTTACAGCTGGGAGACTTGTTCAATTAGGTTTAATCAAGCTTTATTGGAGTACTAAAGATTTTTAGTTTATATTTCTGTGTACGTGAAACCTGGAAATGTAGCGAACACGTTTTGTTGACAGGTCTGTAACTTTTTTTTTTGCTACTAGTCTGAAACTTTGATAGAATATTACAATATTGATATGCTTAATTAATCTACTATAGATATTTACAAAGTATCCCTAAATAATGCCAACCCTCACAACCACATTAACCATGGTTTTATTGTAGTAAAAGTATAGACACCATGGTCTTTTGGCGTGTTTATTACCATTTGTATAATCACAATTTTATTACAAATACCATGGTTAAACTATGGTTAGTGTAGCAAAACCATGGTTAATTTGTGGTTACCATGGTTTAACTATAGTAGCCATGGTCTTTGGTTTTATTTGTAGTAAAACCATGGTTAAATTTCGTAAGGGAAGGGTGCTGTTGTTACAACCTTCCTCACTGTCCACTGTTACACGAACATAAAACATTAATGTGTATGATGTTTTTATTAATTTTAATTCAAAAAGCAAACTAAATTTGAAACTAATACATAACAATACATAAAATGCAGACAAACAACTCGTAGAGTGTGTCCATGTAATGTTTCTCATTTTGTGAATCCAGTTTAAAAAGTGCTGAAAGTGTTACAACCCTTCATGTCTGCTCTGCCATGATATTTCTAGTTTTCAAAATGTAGATGAAAAGCTTAAGTGGATTCTATATATCAAACCAATGTTTCTTACCTCTTTTTTTTCTGAAGAAAAAAAAAAAAATCAAACAGACACTTACCCACCCACCTTAGATGGGTGGTGGTCAATGTAAGATTCTCTTCTGTAGCTCATTTCTAATTGGCTAAACTCATGGTCTTACAACTCCCCGGTCTCTCCTACACACATAATGTATGTCTATAAGTCAGACAGGACCACAAGGTTGACCAACCATAATTACATACAGCATACCTAATTTAATTTCCTGACAGATAACACCGTTTATTTATTATATTTGTAATGAAGAGTGGTTATCAATATTGCACAGAACATCTCCGAGTGAGATTTATCTGTGCATCATCGAGAGACAAAAGTGGAATCATTTTTAAGAATCTCACAATATGCACTTTGAACGTGTCAGCATCTAACAGGTGGTTCAGAACATCTGTTCAGTGTTTCAGAGGTCCCACGCAAGAAATAATTCATTCTGACTAGATTAACCAGCCTACAGCTCAGTCTAATTTATGTTCATCTAGAAAAAAGCTTTATTTTATCTTTTTTTCTCCATTGTGTGCACAACAGCATCTTGGTTTCCACCCATTTAAATAATCATTTAAACTCGATTCATTTCTTCATCACCAAAAAGTGCATTAAATTCACTGCTGCACATTGCAACTTGCAACAAATAAAATTTGTTTTTTAATTTAAGTGCACTAAATAGTGCCTTGATCTATATACACCCACAATAATATACATTCAGAAACCAAAAGCTATCAGGAGGAATTCTTGGGGGTCAAAACGGCAATTTTCTCAGGGAGGCTTTAACATTAGTGTATCTACTTTCAAATAAATCATTCATTTGCTAAATTGTCCCGGGGGCTGATCCCGTGCTGTTGGAAATGATTGCCATTGACTCCCTTGTTCTGTGCTGTGACACTGGGAGCTGTCCAGCACTGTGGTGCTGAAATTGATTGAAGTGCAGACGCCTAGCGAATATCCGGCGGAAGCTAATTATATGCACCCTTTTCCTCACATATTTTTTGGTGAGTGGGCATTGAGCACGTTGTTTTCGATGTTTTCAAGAGTTCATCAACCTCCTTGATGTTTTTTTTTCACCTTTTTTACATTCCGCTTGTGGAAAACGCACACTTTTGCAAAGCATAGAGCGTTTTAACAATTATTTTCCCTTGTAATATACACACAACAAACTTACCTCTAACCTAGTTGATGTTTTTAGTGTTCTAAGAGGTCAAATTTAAAATGTAAAAATTTTAATTCTGGTATCATTTGCTTACCCTCATGTCATTCAATATCTATTTTTGTTTTTTGCTATGAAGTAAAACAGAGATGTTAAGCAGCTTTAGTCAGTATTCAGTGGAGCAAGATGCAAAGAAAACAAATGGTGACTGAGGCTGTCAGTCCGTAACATCATCTTTTGTCTTCCACATTCAGTTTGGAACGACATGAGGGCGAGTAAATGGCTGAATTAGAATTTTTTGCCTGAACTATCCCTTCAGGCAAGCCTTTTTTGCTTCTTCGTACTGAACGAGATATGAACGACTCCACACACAAGCCCACCTGGAGATGTGTGAATTCACATATTCCCCCCGAGGGCTGGAGTTCAGCCTTCACTTCATTGCATTAAATTGCCATCGGAATACATTGGAGCTAAACATTGAAGGAAGGCCACCAGGATCACCTCTATATGATTAGCGCCGGCAGAAAGATGAGGATGTAGAGGACTGCTCTGATATTGGATTTGCCAAGGATAACTATAATAAACAGCTCTTCAAATCTAATTGTAGTCATTCGCTCAACACACCAGCTGGGGAATTAGGGATCGTGAAGGAGCTCCTCTCCTATAATCAATAGAAGTTTTGCAAAAGCATATTGACTTGGGGGGAGAACGATTATTTTGATTGAATAGAAGATAGAACAGAATTAACAGTAATGAATAATGAACCGGAGGCTTTCAACAGAGAAAAAATAAGCTGACAAACACTGCCAAGTCATTTATAAAGGGGTGCATTCATAGGCTGGCTTCACAATAGACGTCCATCATGTTTTACACAGAGATTCGGCATGCAAATCCCACCGCAAATTACATCCAAGTGACTTAAAGAAGACATGCTGATGCTCTTGTCACCTGTTGATCAGGATCATCAACACTTGATGTAACTTTCCCCACAACACAAGCATTTTATTTTTTGTGCAAAAAATGCGACTGACACCAAATGCATTCGGATTCGACATCACAATCTTTGTGGTTTATATTCTAGACACATTTAGTTACAAAATCGAGTCATTAGTTTCCTAATATTTTGATTGAAACAAACAATCAAGATTTCTGAATTTGATAAACACATGACTCGGATCGCTATAGGGCGTTGGATGTTTAAAGAAAAATCATTTAAAGCTCTTACATGAACTCTATCCTCACCACTTTGTTTCTGGTCGACATAGTCTTTGCGAAATCTCTCGAAAAGCTCTTTTTCTGTTACACAGAAAGATATGAAAGGAAGGATATCTTACGTGGCTTTGCTGATGCGCTTCGGAGGACGCTTCGCTGGAGATGACAGCCCGTCTTCTTCTCTCCATGTGCTGTAACAAAAGCATCCCATGCATACGAAGCCTGTCCCTTTAAAGCCTTGCTGCATCCCTGCAGGTGGCCTGTCGATTTAACGGATCCGAATGACGTCACTGCATGGCTGGAAAAGCTGTAAGTCAACTTTCATAATAAAAGTCCATCGGGATTTTATTTTAGTATTCCTTTACATTTAAAATGAGCCTGTTGTTAAAACACAATCATTACAATAAATAAAAAGTCAATAAACCTAAGAACGTTTGCTTGTTTTATCTGGGTTAAGATTGTTTCCCTGATTGGCTATGCTCGTCTAGCTGGTCTTTGGTGGTGTAAGAGGGTCTCCTGAAGATGACCAGCTAATAGTGCCCAAACTCATTCTAAAAGCAGCTAGCAGACCAGCCTGACCGGCAGTGTTAGTATTGTTAAAGTAAATTTGTGTGTTCAATGACTGGAATAAATATAAAAACATACATAATTGTGAGATTTGTGAACAAAAATGAGCTGAAACCAAAATATATTTTCATTTTTTGTTCATGTATGTATTTATTTGTTGCCAGGGATGACAACAAAACGTATTAAAATACAATAAATTATTTTGTATTTGATTATGTTTTTGATACACTTTGTTATGGTGTTTTAAACCTTTGCAACTCACAATGATTAAATATGAACAATGCACAAAAGTGTGTTTTATGTAGGCTACTTTATATCTTTCTCATACTGTGTTTATGTTTTAATAAAAGATGTGAATAGGTTGAACTTAAAAAAAAAAAAAAGGTAAATGTATGTGTTAAATGCAATGACATTAAATAATCTCCAGTTTAAATAAATCTCAAGTAAACAGCAAAAATAACTGTTGCCGAAACAAAATGTTACTTTGTAACTAAAATAAAAAATAAATGTACAAAAAAATAAATTCAACGGAAGTTAAAAATTGTAATAATAATAACAATAAAAAAACAATACAAAAAAAAAATCAAAACTACAATGAAAAAATTGGTGTAAAATTGCTAGTAAAATTCACAAACAGTTACAAAAAACAAAGGAAAGTAACATTAAATTAAACATGACATTTTAAAGTAGAACATTTAAATCGTATTTTCTTTTAAACCCTACTCCAAGAATCTGTTTTATTTACAACTTCAAAAAAAATTTTTTATACCTTGTATAATAACCGTGCTGACCAGGATGGGAGACCAGTTAAGACCCCCCCAACAGCCTATATGGTTATACAGAATTGATGACTTCTTTCATTATATAGTTGTTTGTGTGCATGCTGATTAGCTCACCACCATAAATAGATGACACAACATCAGCAGCCAGGAAGACTGTGAAGGTTAAAAACATGCAATTAATGTTTGTAATGTAAAGCGCCCTCCTACACACATCATGATTTAGATGCACACAGCGTGTCACTTGGCATTGTGCTTTTCCTTGGCATCTCTAAATTTGTCTAGTCACAACTACAATATTATATAAGGGCATTTCAGTTTGTGCTTGTTCAATAAAACACAGCAGGCTATTTATAGGCTATATTCTTTTTGTTCATGCACAGTTACTATCATATCAACCCTGGTCCTGCTCGTTTTGAATGTCTCTCTTATCTGACACATGCAGTTCAGGTTTTAGAGCTTGTACTAATGATCAAATTATATAAATCATGTGTGTTAAATAGGGCACACATTCAAACCACTGTATATATGAATTGCATGTCAATTGCATTTCATTATAAACTCATATGCTTTTGTATGGATGCAAATCAGTAAATCGGGTTTTAAGATTAATGCTTGATACCTCAGTCGCCTTTATTTGCTATAATGACCTCAAATTTGGCAAAGTCTTAAAATTGCACAATGCACAATGAAGCGTTCTGTCCTATTGAAGGGCTTTGATTAACTTTGGTCAGGGTGCACCACAGCCCTGCGTGAAGCAAATCGGTAGCAGCTTTATTTTTCTTTTTCTTGCACTGTTCATTGTACAAGTGTCAGGGGAGGCACATTGTTGGCTTTAACAGAAGGAGAAAAAAATATATAACACTAAATAATCCCTATTTGGGTAACTAATTACAGTTAATATGCAAACAGGGGAATATTAAACCCATAACTGAGACATTTTTGTCATAGTCACATTTTATCGACTGGTTTCAGCCCAAGTTACTGATCTGCTTCCGATTAATACACAGTGATTTCATATAATGTCCTTTTTTTGCTTGTTTGAATAAGTAGATACGACACACACTGTCAAAACATTACAAAACCAGCGAGGAGCCATTTTCAAGGTTTTTTTTTTTTACGGAACTAGTTGTTCGTGTATAATTAGGCAAATATAATATGCCTCACTTACTGTAATGTTTATTTATTCATTAATATTTAAATGTGTTTTGCTGCAGTTTCAGAGCATATTTTGCCCCCAGCCACATTTACACACAGTTTGGGCTGATTTTAAAAGAAACAGCATGCAATAACCAAGTGGACTTTTTATTTTGATCATTTTTATGGAGGAATTATCAGGTTTAGTCTTTGCTTCAAATGCTGTGCTCCGCTTCTTGCTCTTTTATTCGTTATTTTTACGAGGCTCAACCACATTTACCCTCAAAATGAAGCTAATTTGAATTTTGACAAACCAATAATTGAGTTTAAATCAGGTTAACCATCTTTCCAGCTTGCTGAATGCTGGCAATTTTCAGGTAAACCTGATAAGAATCTTCAAAAGTACTGAGAGAGCTGATTTTTTAAAAAGCTGTTGGTATGAAATAATGTATAAAATGTTGCATGTTTAATGAGATATTTGTTTATTCGAAGCATGCACTGAATTCATACTGTCTTTTAGGATGTGACAAATCCAGGATGCTGATTTCCGAGCTCATTAAATGGACACCTAATGACCGTTTGTCCTCAGTAAGTGAGATCGATGTGAGTCCTCAGTGTGTGCTGAGGAAGTGAAAATGTTACGCAATTGGAGAAGACACTGATGAGTCCGCAGAGGAGGTGCCCCGTTCTTGCTTCGACTTTATTTAAATGCTAGTCTATGCTTGTTTACAAAACCTACACGTGTTTATGCTGTGGTAAAGAAGGGCTGTTGTAAGTCGTAATGGCTTTGATTCATTCCACAAGACATTAGAGCAGTAGATCTGTGTGTCTATCATCTTGCAACTGATCTAACGTCTTACGGCTTTACATTTTCTTGGCTAATGTCCAAAGGGGAGCAACAGGCCTGTGCATTTCCCCTCTGAAAATTTAAGTAAGATTTTCTTTGTCATTTTTCCTCACCTGAATCGAACCTCTTTTCCCTGTTAAATTTAACACATTCTTGTTTCAGCTCAGAACCTTTGTGAGCTTCATAAGATGGACCAATTTTAAATGCCAGAATCTCCTTCACAATAATAAATGGGATTAAAGTGCTGTCTATGCTCAACAAAGAAATTGGGAAATTATGTTTTTACCTTAGCATGAATTTTATCCACTTAGGAGACGACAGCTGCAAGGAAGCGCAGATAGCCATTTTACATTTCCATAATTTGGTTGAAAAAAGCCACAAGAGGTGTATTTTCAGGCACAAATGTGCTATTTGTCCCCCCCATTGTGTTCCCAGTACTATTCTGGTGTACTTCGGGACTGAAATGTTTGGTTCATCATGTTGTTTTGTCAGCCCTTTGTGCATTTCTCTGCCATTCTACTGTATATTATCAGGCATTTGCATGATTGTTTTTGTATTTCAGCACTGTTTCTTCAACCTTTTTACCACAAGGCTGCTTGTATGACAGAGGCCATCGTGTAGGTACAGTCATTTTGTTTATTTGATTTAGCAAGGAGGAATTTTAAAGCAGTGAAGCATGAATCCCCGGTGCTTTTTTGCACGCGCTGATCACAGATTTGAAGTGCACGAAGTTGAGAGGGTTTGTAAACAATACTGTAGCTGCATCATTCGATCTTAAGCATAAATATGAGATACAAAGAGCATGTCCGAAGGGCACAAGTGTTTGAAGATTTGTGTCCTCCTTAATCACTATTAATTCGTATTTTTGCTGTCACACCACACAAATGACATGTGAGTAATTAGGACCAAATTAAGAGGGTATTTATCATGGAGATTGCAATCAATTAATTAAAACCAATAATCTCAATATGTGCAAATTGGCATTTGGTATACAATGTAATTGTCAAACTGCATGCATGGAAAACCAGAGACAATTTGAGATCCAATTTGTTGTAGGGATGAAAGTGCCCTCTTAAAAATTAAAAAAGTGTCAGATCACACAGCTGCTAATATATATATATAAATATAATGAAATATATATTTATAACAGAAGGTAAAAAGCACAGTTTTAAAGGGAGAATCAATGTACAAATGAGGTCTTATTACTAATTTCTAATATATTCCTAATATATTTATATATACATATATAATATTATATATGTATATTATATGTACATATATGTATTTTATTTATAAGATCTTAATTATATTAGCCCAATTATAGAATTTATATATAACAAAATAATATTGTGATAATATAAAATGTATGTGTGTGTGTTTATATATATATATACACTGTATACACACACACACACACACACAAACACATATACATACATATATATGTATATATAATTTAAACTTTTTTACAGTCTTTAGGATTTTACCTTGTCGTCTGATGTGCTGAAAAGAGTTTGTTTGGCATCCCAAAGCAAACCTAATGATATAAATGAATGTATTTATAGACTTTTTATATATATATATATATATACACACATAATTCTTAATTTATATGCGCCAGTTGCGGAGGAAATCTCCCAATTTTAAGGGTCAGCTTGGGCTAGGAGTGTTTTCATTATTCATTAAAGAGATCTATGGTTGCCGGTGGCCCTAATCTACCCCACGGCCCAACGACGCAGTGATAAGCGTCAGGTTACCTGCCAGGCCGAGGCAGAGGCGGTTCAAAAGTCACATTGACAGATGTCCGTATCGGTGTTATGCAAACCTGTACAGAGCGATTCCTTGTTTAGCTAAGCGGCCCATAAGTAATTCATTGTATTTAACGAGAAGCAGCATCTGTTCGGCAGCCCCTGCGAGGAAACCCCGATTACCTGGCAGAAGGTGCAGCCTTTCCAGGTAACCGTGCTAATCAGCTAATGATCTCAGCGCTGAAGATTATTTTCCCAGCATTCATGTTTGTGGGGAGGGATTTTGCTAAATCTGGCGCCCGCACATCAAGTCTGGCAAGAAATGTATAAAATCCTCTGGGGAACATGGGTGGAGAGAACCACAAGCAGCTCAACAAGTTCTTCTGACACTAATGTTTCCTTCACTGGCACTAATAATAGAAAAGTGCCCATCAATTTCCTTTCACCTGTGATCCCCAAGTGGCAGAAATTGCCTCTGCACACTGATGGCCGGCTTTCTCATCACTGGTGTGGTGCGGCGCTCAGGCTTCCCTGCTGAGAACCCCTTTAGCTTTCTTAAGGGGTGAGAGGGTAATTCTGCCTGAGTATGGTTTCTGCACTTGACCTCTCTTTGCCTCCCTTTAAAGAGCGTGTTTTGATGAAATGGTGAAATCATTACTTTCCAAACTTCTGGTCCATCTCTGCTGACCTAAACTGAGCGGTGTCCTATCTGAAAAGCTGCAGATATTGTCTTACTTGCTCTTCCACCCTGGCCCCCGGAGCCCCATAAAAGCTCGAGATTTGAGATCCATAAAAGCAAAAAAAAACAAAAAACAAGAAAACAGGGCTCTGAAGCAATCAGCGAGTGCTAAGGACAGTGGCCGCAATTACAGAAATGCAAGACAAAAGCCATCTCAAGGCACTCGCCTAAAACTTTTTCATCCTCATCTGGTACGATTCTTTCCCGTCTTTTCTTTACTCCGGATGACCAAATACAAGGTCTTGTGGGATGAGACGTTGTGGCATTGTTGCAGTATTTCAACCTACACTGTTAAACATAAAGGTTCCAAAAAGGGGCTTTTCGCAGCAATGCCATACATTCTTATAAAATATAGGTTCTTAATTGGCATCTGTGGTTCCACGAAGAACCTTCAGCGTCCGTGGAACCTTTCCACTGCACAAAAGGTACTTTATAGTTATATATTTAAAATGGTTCTTCTACTCTCTTAAAAATAAAGTTCCAAAAGGGCGATTTTGCAGTGATGCCATAGAAAAACCTTTGGGGAACCTTCTTAAAAGAGCCATTTAAAAAATCTAAAGATTCTTTTTCAACTATAAAGAATCTTTTGTGGAATGGAAAGTTTCTATGAATGTTAAAGGGATAGTTCACCCAAAAGTGAAAATTCTGTTATTAATTACTCACCCTCATGTTGTTCAGCAGAGAGGATGACTTGCAATTTTTACACGAAAAGTATTCTCGTAGCTTCATAAAATTACGGTTGAACCACTGATGTCACATGGACTATTTTAACGATGCCCTTACTAGCTTTCTGGGCCTTGAACGTGTCAGTTGCATTGCTGTCTATGCAGGGTCAGAAAGCTCTTGGATTTCATCAAAAATATTAAAATTTGTGTTCCAAAGATGAACGAAGGTCTTACGGGTTTGGAACGGCATGAGGGTGAGAAATTAATGACAGAATTTTCATTTTTGGGTGAACTATCCCTTTAAAGGTTATTCATGGAGCTATAGATGCATCGCTATGAAAACCCTTTTGGAATTATAATTTTTTTGAGTTTAGAAGAACCATTTCGGGTTCCCCAAAGAACCGTATAGTGAACAGTTTAGTAAACTTTTAAGTGTACAAAGTTTTTATTTATTTATTTATTTTTTAAATCTAAAGTATATTTTTTCCCACTATAAAAACTGGAATGAACCTTGTGGAATGGAAAAGTTCCATGGTTGTTAAAGATTTTTCATAGAACCATGGAACCTTGGGCGACCAAATTCAAGGTGTTGCCAGATGCGACAATGCAGTAAATCAACCAACACTCTTAAAAATAAAGGTTCCAAAAGTGGGTTTTTATCAACGATACCATTAAAGAGCAAGCAGTTTCAGTAAGCAGTTCTTAAACAAAAGAACATTTTTCCACTATAAAAAACCTTTAGTGCAATGGAGAGGTTTCCTGGACATTAAAGGTTATTCATGGAACCATCGATGCCAATAAAAAAAAACTTTATATTTAAGAGTGTACCATAAGATAATCACTAGTGGGTCTTGTCGCCTACAATCATTCATAGTCTTTTATAAAAAGGCTGAATGCATAAGAAAGGTGCACATTGGTATATTTGCTTGAAGGAAAATATGACAAGGAGTAAACAAACTTAAAATCTGCTGAAATACGTGGTGGAGATGAAGCAGAGGGTGTTGAAATCACTCCTGATTTGCATGCCCTGCAGTCTCCGGCTCTCACCGAGGACTGATGTACAAGGAGATGCGAGCACTCTTTACACGTAGTCCCATGACATGCTGTATGCGCTCATTATGAACCCAACTATGCCTGTCCAGAATGTTTCCCTCCCCCATAACACACACAAACGCACCCATATCGCACACAAACCTTCTTCCATGCACGCTCACACACGCATCCACAAAAGAAAGATCGGCATCCTGCACTTGTCCTTTACCCTATATCCATTGTTTGGCTCTGAGAGGTTTCCACGGAAACCAGAATTAGAATTTGCCTGATACTTAAAGACGAGGCTGAAATGTGTTGCATGGCATCTGTAGTCCGTATCGCATGTAAACAACTCGATTTCTGATGGCCACTGACACTCATTCACTCACAAAATCTATGTTTATTGCACGGTTTGCAGTGTATCGATAACCTCATCAGTTATCTGCTAAATATTACTAGTCACGTTTGAATGAGGAGCTTGAATTAATTATAAAAAAACACAAATTTATAAGAAGCAACACATTAAGTAGACATATTTGAAATACAGCATGAGATATAAGCTGCCAGTCTGTGGCCACATTGATTGGACTGGCAAAGCTGCAGAGAAGGGCTGGCTTTGGTAGGAAACAATGTTTCTAAGCAACAGCATCCTGTCAGCTGATCAGGACGGCCAATAGAATCCAGCCATGTATTCCGCTCTGCCAATGAGGGAGCACATGGCTTTATTTC